TCTTTTTGCTTCCACTTTGCTCCATCTTTTCACTAGACTTTGGATTACCTTCTCCCATGCTCTAATTCAGCTGATTTAGCTCATTTTAGGATTAAGAACCTGAAAAAGGGAAAAATGTAAAGTAAGACTAAAACGGGAAAATAAGATAAAATAAGGTCCTAATATACTAAAGATTAAGGGTTTAAATGCACACTTTTCAGTGCTTATCACACCCCCAAACCGAAACATTGCTAGTCCCTAACAATGAACTACTAAGCAAATAAAGGAAAGAGCAACTAAACAACTATGAACTAGAAAGCCATAAAAGGATAACGCCACTTTCGTAGGATACACGGTTGCATTTAGCATATGCAATAGGTTATCCCTAGTGGACAAGTGAAGTCTCGTGAGGGTTTCTAGAAATGATACCCACAAACATCAAGCTCTTTCTCACCTAAGAGGCACCAACATTCCAAACAAGTATTGAAGGAAAACTACCTCAAGTATGTAATTTTTCAATCACTTCTAAGCAATTTTCCAAAATTTCAATAACAAGCAAGAAAATATAATCCTCCACACATCAATTAAAATGATCATGCAAATCAAAACAACTCTACCATTCTTTTTGAGTGAACCGGTATCAAATATGTTGCTATCTTAATAAATCAATGAGATGGACACAACTGGTCTCAAGCTAGCACACAAATTTAGTACCAATCACCAAGACAAAGAATGAACCTCTTTATTTCAATTTATTTCCTGCATGCTCTCATTTTATTTCTTTTTCACTCTTTTTTTTTTTTCTTCATAGGATCAAAGATAAGAGTATGGTGCAATGTAGTGATCTCTTAAGCTTTCTAGAAGATCTATTTAACGAGCGTTAGGTCAATGACACCCAAACTGGACGGCTTTAGGGTATTAGGCATAAAGACACCCCTAAGGACTTACAAGCTCAAATCAACTAGGTTACAAATCAAAACAACTCACATCTAATCATTTCCCTACTTCCACCTTTAGTGAGAAGTGCTCACTTATTTGTATTTTGCAAAATTATTTTATTATTATTATTTTTTATTATTATTGTTTTTTTTAACTATTGTGTGGGCCTTCACTTTTTGGCGCGAGAGTTTAATGCTTAATGAGGCTAAAATCCTGGCTACTAGGTAAAAGGTTTGTTATTAGCATGCAAGGTCATCTTATCAAGAATGAGAGCTTTCAAAGCAATACTAGCTCAATAGGGATATAACCAAATCAAAATGAATACTAGTGTGTGCATGTGCAAGTGTAGAACTTAAGAGATGAATCTCAAAACAATCTCACAAACATGATGATGTGGACCACAAAAGCAAGCAAGATGTCAATCTTTTGAAAAATGTTGCCCCAAAATGACATCCAAAAGACATACAAGGAGTATTGAACTCACAAGTCAAACAATTTTTAAATTATAAGGAACACATGCCGAAAAGATCAAAATCATTGCTAAAATTGATCTTCAATCTCAATCATAAATTTAAAGCTCAACTTAAATAGAATGCAACAAAGCCATCTTACCCCCAAACTTAAACTGCACATTGTCCTCAATGTGTAATGAGAACAATGGAAAAGATGGAAAGAATATACCATGGTGGCAAAACGATAAAGCCCGGTAATGATCCATTGAGAAAGAGTGCACCCCCAAACTTGGAATCAACAACCTAATTTAATAACCACACTAGCAAACTCACATCAAATATTAAATGGGATAAGAATAGGCAAATCATGCACTCTAAGGCAGTATAGCATAAGATGCAAGAGAGAAATGAGATCAAGCCCTAGCTAAAGCATGAAAGTATACATGACTACACATAAGGGCACAATGGTGAAAAGTTTTTTTTTATATTTTTCTTCTTATGAAAATATGTACAATGAAACAAAATGTAAAAAAAATAAAGAAATAAAAATGAAAATGAACATGTACTACACAAGAGATAAAAGATACAATGTGTCATGTGGGTGCTAAGTTAACATCTCTAGCAAGACGGAATGCTACATTGAAAAATTATTTTTGGTGTTTTTTTATTTTTTATTTTTTTTTTAGACATAACAAGTATGTACACAAACAAAAATAAAAATGCAAGTAAATAAAAATGCAAGAAGTAAAAATGTAAGGAAATAAAGAATGTAAAGAAATATATATATTTTTTTTCGAAAAAAATTGGAACAATCAAAAGTTGGATCGATCATTATGTGATCGATCTAAGCATTTGCACGACGGGACAGAAGCTTGACTTTTGCAGGAAAGTTCACACAATGGGGCAGAGAGCTGAAATTTTGAGAACTTCAAAATTTTTCTAAGTGTGGAATTGAGATCGATCACAAAAACACTTCGATCGATCGAAGTGCACTTGGAACAATCGAACAGAAATGTTCGCACGATGGGACACAAGTCTGAAATTTGCAGGAAAGTTCGCACGATGGGACAGAGAGCCGAAATTTTGAGAATTTCAAATTTTTATTAAGTGTGGAATTGAGATAGATCACAAGGAAACTTGGATTGATCGAAATGCACTTGGAACGATCAAATAGAATTGTTCGCACGATGGGACAGAAGTCTGAAATTTGCAGGAAAGTTCGCACGATGGGACAGAAGCCTGAAATTTTCGGATTTTTAAAATTTTTCTAAGTGTAGTGTTCACGGATCGATCTCAAAGCACTTCGATCGATCAAATGCACTCTTAATTAGATTGAACCGGTACAAAATGCCTCATTTTGAGATGAAAAAGCACAAATTTCCTATGCAAGGCCTAAAAACAAGAATGGATCACTTTGAACCCTATCTAGACGACACAAGAATGAAAAACAAAAATAATTGAGGGAGAAATAGGGTTTGAAAACCCTACGAATGCTAGTATTTAACGTCTCTAGCAAGACGTTAGGCTTTTTAGCCCGGATTAAAGATCTTGTTTGACATTTCCCTCCTAATGGGATGCAATGCACTTTGAGCCCCACCCAACAAACCATTCCCTAAGGAAATTATTAGATTTGGTTCAAGGAAGAGCGATAGACCTTTGTCAAAACTCATAAATGGACACTTGGGCTTCCATGCCCTTTCAAGCTTGACTTTTGAAACAATTTCTTGTGAAGATTCATTGGTAGGTAAAACACTTTATTTTGGTTCATCAATAAGAGGTGGAATTTCAATTTTTTCAACAATTTTTTCCACAACACTAACCTCTTCATGCTTATCAAATGAATTAAGGGTTGGATTGAAGATATTCAACTTCACTTTCATATAGCCAAAAGAAATCTTCATTACCCCCGTCCTACAATTTATGTTCGCATTTATGGTAGCCAAGAAAGGACGGCAAAGGATAACGGGAATTTGACTTTTTGAATTGGCAACCGATTTCATGTTTAAGACTGTAAAATCAGCCGGGAAGAAGAATTTATCAATTTTTATCAACACATCCTCAATAATGCCCTGGGGCTTTTTAATTGAGTGGTCAGCTAGTTGTAAAACTATTGACGTAGGCTTTAAATCGCCCAAACCCAATTGAACATATACCGAATATGGAAGAAGGTTCACACTCACCCCTAGATTGAAGAGAGCCTTATTGATGAGATGGTCACCAATGGTGCAAGAAGTGGTAGGCGAACCGGGATCTTTGAACTTGGGGAGAGTGTTGTGTTACAAAATTGAGCTCACTTACTCGGTAAGCAAAACCTTCTTTGGTACTTGGCTTTGTTCTTTCTCTTAAGAGTGCACAAGTCCTTCAAAAACTTTACGTAAGCCGGAATTTGTCTAATGGCATCTAAGAGAGGAAGATTGATTTTAACTTGCCTAAACACTTCAATCATTTCATTAACTTTCCCTTATCATTTTTCCAAAGATGAGGAAGCTTTCAAAGCATCCAGAAATGGAGCTTTTGGCTCATAGCGCTTTTCAAGATTGCTAGATGATGATGGTTCTTCAATGTGAACACTTTGCCTAGGTGAAGGAGGAATAATATTGGAAATGGGATAGATAGAAACACTTGGTAGCACCAATTCACTCTCTTCACTAGGAATTTCAACTTAATTGTCTATTATTCTCCCACTCCTTAAGGTAGTAACCGCATTGACTTGCTCATGTTGGGGACATCCCAATGAGGAAATTGTCTCCACCATAAATTGTGGCTTAAGCGCGGGATTAAGAGGCAATTTTCCCTTCTCTTTGGCATTCAATGTGCTAGCTATTTGCCCTACTTGGGTTCTAGCCTTGCAATGGATTGTGAGCGGGACTGAAGCAATTGAGTATTGGCCTCTAAACTTCCCAAAGCCGATAAAACTTTTTCCTCAAAGGCAGAACTTCTAGATAAACCTTGAGAATAGGATTGAGGATTGGAACTTTGATGATGAGAACACTGATTCACATTTTGAGATGGATAAGATGGACGATAACCTTGAGCATTTTGACTTTCCAAAGATGAGGGAACATACTTCGCTTGAAACCACTTTAAAGAGGGTTTGCACCATCTCCTTGGTTCTTCCAAGAGAAGTTCGGGTGATTTCACCAACCTAGATTATATTGATTTGAAAACAGATTGTTCCCTTGATTTACAAAAGTGGCATTAACTTATTCATGTTGCTCACCTTGCACATGTCCATGGGGGACAATTAGTAGTACAGTGGAGCACACTTGAACATATCATGCAAGTCTCATTAGAATGATGATGATGATGGGGAAAGGAAGATGCTTGATGAGCCGAATTTTGATTGGCCAAGAATTAGTCAAATCTTTGAGTTAAAGACTTCACTTCGGTGACAATGTCATTTTAACTCTCAACTTGACATAAGGTGGAGTTTTTCTTCCCTTCTACATTAGAATTCCTACCATTGCGTGACAATGATCTATGCATCGAATTTTCACTCATACTCTCAAAGAGTTGCCAATGTCATCTTCATGCTTATCCAAGTATTGACCTCCCATTGAAGCATCTACCATTTCCTTATGGGTTTTTGATAAGCTTTCATAGAAATATTGCACTACTTACCATTTAGGAATGTCGTGATGTGGACATTTCCTAAGTAAACCATTCAACCTTTCCCAAGCTTCATAAAGAAGCTCCCCATCCCCATGTGAAAATTCACGAATTAAAGTTCTCATGGCATTTGTTCTAGTAGGGGGGTAATATTTCTTCAAGAATTCTTGTTGCATTTCCGCCCAAATGGTTATGATAAGAGGCCTTAGGTTGGAAAACCAATACTTGGCTTTGTCTTTAAGTGTGAATGGGAAGAGTGTCAACCTTAGAACCTCTTCCGGCATGTCCGTGTACTTCACAGTGGAACATACTTCAAGAAACTCATCCAAGTGTTTATAGGGTTCCTCATTACTTAACCCATAGAAATTTGGACACATTTGGATGGTTTGAGGTTTAATCTGATAATGGTGATCTCTAAAGTTTAGAAGTCAGATGCATGTAAGCACATTATATTCATTTGGCACATAATGATCTTTTCTTCTTCTTCTTTGCTTTTTTTTTTTTATAACTAAAAATAACATTAAAAAAGGCGTTCTAAAGGGGAACGCATCCTAATTACAAAAGAGGAACAGGGACTAAGGCCCCAAAGAATCCAAGAAAGTAATAAAATCATCAGAAGAAGAACAAAAGCTCCCCTTCACATAATTGAAAAGAGAACGAAGAATGTAAAGTTTGACCGTTGCCGTGGGTGACTCTTTCCCTTTGAACATTCTGCTATTTTTCTCCTTCCAAATACACCACTATACACAATGTGGTACAATTCTCCAGAAATCGCGAACGTCTTTTCTCACTCGACAACCTCTCCAAATGTGAATTAATTCCTTAATAGATTGTGGCATAACCCAACGCATGCCAAACAACCTAACAATAAAATTCCAGCAGTCGTTCGCCATAGGGCAATATAAAAGGAGGTGATCAACGGACTCCTCATCATCCTTGCAAAGACAACATTAATTAATGATACAATTGCCCCTTTTCCTTAAGTTATCAATTATCAGAATCTTTTCCCACATAGCAGTCCAAACAAAGAAAGCCACCCTAGTTGGAGCCAAAGACCACCAAATAGTTTTCCATGGGAAGTCTCGATTAACAAAATTAGACCAACATAAGAATAAGGATCTAACTTCGAAGCGACCGTGGGAAGAAGGAGCCCAAATTAAAACATCATTACCTCTACCAATGCCCTCCTGCAGATATAGAAGATCCAAAAAACACATACCTTATCCATTTCCCAATCCTGAAAAGAGCACCGAAAATACACATCCCACGTAATCCCGCTGCTATCAAGCCGATAACAGTCAACTACGTAGGCGTGTTTATCAACAGCAATACTGAATAATCTAAGAAATGTATGAGAAAGTGGCTGATCCCCACACCAAAGATCTTCCCAAAACCGAATGCAACGACCATCGCAAAGTTTAAATCTGATATGAGCCAAAAAAACATCCCATCCTGACCGGTGGTTCCTCGTTTACAAGGGTCGCGATACCAAGTCAAGCTTGAAGAGTTGTGAATTTAGGAGGTGGCCAAGTTTTACATTTATAGAAAGCCACTACTACCTTTCTCTATATAAAATATAGATAGGGCGAGTAGGGATCGTCCCAAAGGATTCGATGGTGTATCGAATTGTGAAACTATGGTAATTAGGGTTAGTAGGTCGAGTAATCACACAATTGATTGGTTGGTTGATTAAGCTAAATTGAATTCAACTAAATAAAATAATATGAAGTAAACAAGAGAGAGAGAGATCTTGGGGTGTAGAGATCACCACCAAGCAATACTTTTCTATACTACTAACAAATGATCAATTGAGGGTAATGGATGTGTTGCAATATGATAAGGGTGTGTGTGCATTAGGTTGACTCAATTGGCAAGGATGACAAATCAAGCAAGTATTGTCTAAACATCATGTGAAGAGCACAATATATCTAAACAATAAAGCATATATTGTCTAGACAACATGGGGATAGCACAATAGATCAAAACAAGTCATTAATCCTTCATTAAGCTCACAATCCACATGCAACACAATATTAGAGGAATATGCCATTTGGACTCACAAGCATGGAACATCAAACATCAAGAGTAGATTATTCTCCCATCTAACATTACACTAGCACTACACTAAATCTACACTACTAGCATGAAAATAAAGCTATCTAGACTAGAGGAGAGGCACAAACCATCAAGAATAGGCATAAACCATCAAATGAACCAAAATAGCATTCATTAAGCATATCATCTTGATATTCTCTAGATCTATAGCATCAATACACATAGACATGCATCAAAAACACTAAATCTAGAGATAAGCACATGAATATCCTGCTCTAGCATACATAGACATATGAAAAGAATAGAATAGTCAATTGAAAGCATTAAACCATACAAACCATGAAATAATCAAGATTTATATATACATGAATATCAAGATGTATCATACAACACTAATCCCTCAATAATACACAAGATTAGAGTATAAAAAGCATGCTTGGGGCTAACTCTAGCCCCAAGAGGATGTCTAGCCACTCATAGTAGTGATGATCCAACCCTCAAGGGCTAACTCCATGGCTGCTCCTTGTTGGTGAAGATCTCCTCCAATGGTGCTCTAGCTTCCCTCCTTCCTCCTCTCCAAGAAGAGCCTCCAAGATGATTTTCAATGTGTGACAAGAGACTCCCTCAAAAAGTGTATCATATTCCTTATATAAGTAGGTCAAATACACCCCATGATGAGCTGTGGTCGTGCAAGGCATATTCTCCAATGATTGGATGAAGGACGGAATAAATGAGCTGGACTTTAACTTTTTCTCGCTGGAGGAAGTTCGATCGATCGAACCTTAACTTGGATCGATCGAAAATGGGTTCGATCGATCGAACTGCATCTTGGATCGATCGAAGTGGTCTGACTCCTCCGGATAAGGACAAGGCTGGGATACTTTCAAGATATTTATGGGGAAAAAGACAAAAGTGGTTGGTAGGCGTACAGCTGTGGATAAGATCAATCATTTGAATAGGACAAAATAGGGTTCGATCGATCGAAGGTGATGTTCGATCGATCGAACTTGGAATTTTAGCAAAGGCCAAGGTTGGATCTATCGAGAAGTACTGTGATCGATCATAGATGTTCGATCGATCAAACTCTAAGTTGGATCGATCGAACTTTTCAGCTGCACAACTTTGATTCCTTTTTGCTCCTTTCTTTCTCCACTTTGCTCCCTCCTTTGGTTTATCTCAGGATTGCTTCAATTAAGCTCTTATTTGGCTGAGTTAGCTCAATTTTGGGATTAGTGCCTGAAAATATAAATAACACATAATAAGTCTAAAACGGCAAAGTAAGATAGATAAAGGTACTAGAATGCTTAAGCTTAACGGGTTTAAATGCGCACTTTTCAGTGCTCATCACACCCCCAAACTTAAATATTGCTAGTCCCTAGCAATGAACTAAGAAGTAAAGGAATGAAATAAACAACTATATAAGTATAAACTGGAAAGCAAGTAAAATGATAACACCATTTTCGTAGGGAACACGATTGCATTTAGCATATGCAACAAGCCTTTTAAACCCCTAGGTTACCCCTAGTGGATGAATAAAGTCTCGTGAGGGTTTCCAGAAATGGTACCCACAAACATTAAGCTCATTCTTTCAAAAGAGGCACCAATATTGCAAACAAGCATTGGGAGAAAACTACCTCAAGTATGCAATTTTTCAACCGTTTCTAAGCAATCTCCCAAAATTTCAATATCAAGCAAGCAAGTATGGTCCTCCACATATCAAGAAAATGATCATGAAAATCGAAACAAGTCTAGAATCCATGTGAGAGGTCCGGCATCAAGTGTGTTGCTATCTTAGCCAACTAGAGAAGTAATCACATCCTTACCCTCAAACTAGCATACAAATCTAGTCCCAATCATCAAGACAAAAAGTGGACCTTTTATTAAAGCTTTACTGTTCTAAGGGTGCTTATTCTTTTCACTCTATTTTTTTTTTTATTGAGGATCAAAGATGAAAATATTGTGCAATGTGTTGATCTCTTAAGCTTTCTAGAAGATTCATGTAGCGAGCTTTAGGTCAATGACTCCCAAACTAGATGGCTTTAGGGCATTAGGTGTTAAGACACCCCTACGGACTTACAAACTCAAATCAACTAGGCTACAAATCAAGACAACGACCATCTAATCATTTCCCACTTCTCGCCTTTTGGGAGAAGTCCTCACTTTTATTGCTTTTTGTAACTTCTTCTTCTTTTCTTTTCTTCTTTTTTTTTTTTTTTAACCTAGAGTTTGGGCCCTCCACCTTTCGGCGCTAGAAGTTCACTACTTAATGAGGCAACAATCCCGGCTACTCAATGAAAAGGGGTTGTTATCCACCTTTATCAAGAATGAAAGCTTTCAATGCACTACTAGCCCAATTGGGATATAACCAATTCAATAATCAACAAAGTGTGTACCCCACAATTGAATGCTAGCGTGCGCCGGTGCTAGTGTAGAATCCTAGAATGAATCTCAAAACAATTACAGAATCAAGATGATGTGGACCACAAATGCAAGCAAGATATCAATCTTTTGAAAAATTTACTCCTAAATGGCATCCTCAAGGCATACAAGGAGTATTGGACTCTCAAGTCAAGCAATTTTTAAATTTTAAGCAATATAGTCCTCAAAAGATCAAAATCATAGCTAGAAATGGACCAAGGATAGAAATATCCCTCAAATACACAAGACATGCTCAAAATTTGAATTTTAAAGCAATACTGAAACATACACCAATACCCCAAACTTAAACTGCACATTGTCCTCAATGTGTGAAGAGAACAAAGGAAAGAGTATACCAGTGCTTTAGATATGAATGATCGGGACAGAAGTATCCAAAGTGGGTGGCATGGCCCCCCCAAACTTGGGATAAACTGTGGTCCTGAAAAGTTTGCACTCGGATAAACTCATTAGATAACAAAGTAGGATAATCAGTGCACAGTGGACGTGCAAGTGTAAATGGGATAAATAGAGAATAGAGAGAGAGGTGTAAGAGTGGTCCTGAAAAATTGGGCAGCACTCTCTCACTGAAGTCACTGTGGTGTACCTGATGGAGTCAAACATACAAATATGAGATAGTAAGAGACATCCATAATCA